GCTGCTCCTCCTCTTCCTCTACGTGGGTAGGCGACATTGGCATTGACTCGGGAGCCTCGGGGGCATGCCTCGGTCGCTGCTTGCGCAGGATGGAATGAGGGCCCAATCGTACGGTGAAACGGGCAATGTGACTCCGGGAGTCGTCTTTCCTAACCGACTCAATCGTCTCGGCGAAACCGTCGGCACCGCCGCATATGATTTCGAGTACAGGCTTGCCCGTGACTTCTTTGGGCAGGGAGCCAATGACGTCGGTCCACGAGGGGCTGACATAGCGGATCTTGCCCTCGAGGTCCAGGTCCATGATGATGTTCAGACTGTGCTCGGCGGCCTCCTTGAGGTCTGCACGCTCGTTGCGCATGTCCTGACTAACGCTGCGCTCCATGTTCTGTCGGTGGCCGCTGGTGCCGACAGCCTCCTGCTTGAGGGCAGTGACTGCGGGCGGGGCCAGCGTCGGGGGTTTCTTCTCGTCGGCCATGGCTGCGGTGGGTGGTGCTATCGTCGCGGGAGCCCGTCGCCGGGGGGGATTGGGCGGGTGCCCGAGGGCTGGCGGGTGCTGAGCTATGCGCAGAGAGCTGCCAGGACCATGGTGGGAAAAAAGCGACGGTCCGGGAGAGTCGGGCGTGCAGCTGGGGAAGGTACGCGTTGACGAGCAGTGCGGTAGTGCTTGCTGACTGCAACGAGAGTGGGTCTCGAAACCGGGATGAGGGGACTAGACGAGCTGCATGGTAGTGCGAGCGTGCGAGAGGGCGAGGGGAGCAATTGGGGGGTGTAATGAGCGTCGCGGGCTGGGGATGGATGAGGGCGGTGGGCAGCAGGCGGCGGCCGTGGCAGTCGTCGCCGTCGTGGTGGTGGACGGGCGAGAGGGGTACACAATGGGCGTCGTCTCAGCCGGCAGCACAAGGCGTCGGCAGAAAGGCGTTGACAAAAAAGAAAGCACGCCAGGCGGGCGGATGAGCAGCTGCACGCATGGGATGGGCCTCGTCGGCACGCTATCCAGCTGGCAAAAGTCCCCACGCAGCACCCAAGCACGCGTCGAGAGAAAGTCACACGCAAAACAGCCGTGCACTGGTGCGCGCGGAGCTAAAGGGTATGCATGATGCTGGTGTAGGGAGGGTGCATTCACTGGCCCGAGCGCCCGACCGTGACGGCACATCCTGGCCGCCAACACAACGGCAGAACCTCTCGCGGCCTTGTCCAACAACACGGCCACAGTGCTGCGGCATTGGCAATCAATCGCGAATCAATCGAGACGGCCGTTGGCCTGTCGACAAGGCGGGGTACAGCACTGCAGCAATCCTGCCTCTCTGCCCTCATTGTCATGACCTGCCGCAGACTCCCCCTCTACTGACCGCTTCGCTGCATGCTCCCGGTAATCCCTGGACGAGTGCAGGCCGTTGTGCTATTTGCTCGCCCATGTCTTTGGTCAGCTTGGGCAACACGAGACGAACCACGGGCAGCGCACTCCCAGACAGCCTGCGCGCACCTAAACACTATTCTGCAAAACTGCGCTTGTGTGTAATCAGCCCTTAGTGATCGCCAGCCCCTCCCCAAGGCCGGCTGCGACACAGCCAGAGGACGACTAATCCCGTCGGACAATAACTCGAACGGCTGTGCAGCATCGCGAACGCATGTTCACGCCATCATCAGCCGAGCACCATGGCCGCTGCCCCCTCGACAAGACGGCCCAACGTTGCACGACTGCCCTCGTTATTGCGCGCGACAACAGACGAGCCCCTCGCCAGGACCTGCAGCGTCGCCGTGGATACACCACCTGGGGAGACGTGCAGATCGCTCCTGCCCGCCCAATCACACCCTCGTCGCATGCACCTCTGCTCCTTCCCCGTCTTGCCTGGATGCGGCCCAGGCCCGCTACGTCTGCAACTAAGCCCGTCCTGTCGGCGGTCATATAGACGTACACACAGCGGAGCGAACAGCTTGCTATTCCCGCTCCGTACACTTCCTATTCGACCTTCGCCTGGTGAACCACGTCCAGACCTCGACGTTGGATGCATCCAGGCAACTACCTGGGTTTGAGTGCCGCATCACACCCTCACAACACTAGCTCTGCGCTACTGACAATCGCCACCTGGACCACGACGTGCATCGAGTCTGGAGTAATAGAATGGTTTTTGTTGACACAGCACTGCTGCTACATGCTACGGCACCTCCCTATTCACCGACGCCGAATAACGAAGATGACACCCGTGGACGATTGAGTCTGTCACGTGCTCTTCCGAACGTCCGTGAACTCGTGCTTCCAACTTCAGTTGGCAACACTACCATGCTCTAATCGAAGTACACTGCCTCGGGCTTGTGTACGCAAATCTTCCCCGATGCGTCGCTCTTCAACACCACCCTGGGATCCTCTTTGCTTGCCTTGACCTTCTTGCCGTCGACCTGCTTTTCTTCATACAGAACCTCCACAACCTCGCCGTCAACGTAGCCAGGGAGCGAATGCCATTGAACTTTCTGGCCCTTCTTCGGCACACGGGTTATGTCGCCGGCAGCTGCGATAGGCTTATCGTGCTTGTTGACTGTGCTCTTCTGTCTCTTGTTGGCACTGGGAGCCTCTATGTTTGCGCCACGTCCTCGCTTTTGACCTGGATGATCGTCCTGCGGGGGACTCTTGGATTTCCGGCTGCTTTCCAAGAACTTCTGGTATGCCCGTTGATCCTCCTCCATGTGGTCCGGGTCATCCCATTGTGTCGTGCAGTCGGTCTTGCTCTTCTTCTCGATCTTCGTAAAGCCATGCTTCTCGCCGTCTTTGGTAGCGTCTTTCTTCGCTTGTGCAGCTTTCGAGGTGTTGGCGACATGTTGCTTGCCCTCTTTGCCTCCCTCCTGCTTCTTGGCATCTGTCTCCTCCTTCTCCTTCTCGCTCATCTCTTCCCATGCCTTCTTCGGCAGGTAGCGGTGTTCCAAGCCGTTCTTGTCTTTTGCGCTTCCGCTGCCGTCCTTTGTCTGCCACTCTTCTTCCGTCCACTCATCCAGATGCTTCGCTTTCTCGTCCTTCTTGTCTGTGGTATATCCTCCACCGCGTTTCTTGTACTCGGATGCCATCATCTGTGCCTGCAATTGTCTATGTCAGTGGTGCAAAGGACACTCGCACTAGTGGAGCCTACCTTTCTGGCTGACCATTGGCCGGGCTCACCTCCCTTGTCACCAGCTTGGATCTCCTCCTTGACTTCATCACGCAGTTGCGGATCCGTGTATTTGTCGTCGGTCTTGGAAGGCATTTTTGATGAGACTGAACGAAGAGCAAGTCTGAGAGGAGTCGTGGTCACACGAGGTGCGCGATATGCAGCAACAAGCAAAAACGGTCGGGGGAGAAGCGTGCGATACATTCCAGAAGAACAAGCGTCCAGCAAACAATCTTTGTACTACCCCAGATTCCCTCCACTGACGTACAGGTACCTGCGCAAGCTTCAACCGTTCTCATCTTAAACAGCCAGCCACCCTGAATCACCTACATCATGAAGTCTTCACGATTCCGCATGGCGGCCAGAGCACCTTGGAATCTGGTAGAGCACGTCTCGTTCCTCTCAAACGCGCGCCGGGATGACATCAATGACCTCTCGATAGACCGATTCGGGTTGGTGTGAGCGCTCGGACCTGACCGTGCGCTGAGATCGAGGAGAAGCCAGCTAGCGTGCGTCTGCCAGATCACCTACGTCCATGCCTTCTCGACTACCTAGGAAAGGGCGACCCAACATTTGTGCGCAGGCTGCTGCTTTTCCCACCCACTCTTCTCATTTCCTTGCTTTGACGGGAAGTTGCTCGTGCGTCAACTGTCGGATGCAAAAAGCTCCTTGAGCCATGTCTGCCCCAAGCCGATATGGGCCGGTCCGTACGTAGCGTGCCACCGGCGTGTGCTATAGCATAAGTGCAGCCACCGCCCGGCAGATGTTGCACACTGTCTTGGAATCGTCCGTGCGAGCAACTCGCATATTCCCTTCATCGTGTGTCTGTTTGGTAGCAACAGCTCTGAAGCCAGTATCAGTGCGACTTTCAAACGTCTCGTCGCGATACCGATACCAATGGCCCCTCTCGCAGCGAGGTAACACGAACAAACCAAAGTACTTGCCGCAGACTTCGCAGGGCATTATCGCAAGCCATCATCGTTCGTTCTACAATGACTCCATCTGGAATCTCTTCATTAGTGGTGTAACATGACAGTACCTTTTGTCAAAATGACGGTCGCATCTCACCAGGAAATGCAAGACAGTTCAGCGAGACCCTACACAATGAGATAATACTTCCGTCATCTTCCAGAGCCATTGAAGGCGCATGGGAGAGTATTCGTCTTATACCACGGCCTTGGTAGCCGTGCTGGAAGAGGTCACTACGTTCCGAGCAGCCGACGTCTTATATCTCAGTGACTGGTGCGAAAACAGGTCAAATCATTTTCGATTTTGTGACTTTTCCGATTGGCTCACATCTTTCGATGCAATGAATGTGGGCTCTGGCTAATGTACGTTTTAGTAGAAGTACGGTACACACTACGTTAGCAAGAGCTGTAGGTACCCCTCCATCATGGCATTCTGGGCGCGCCTTGACTGGAGCCAGGAGTGCAACAGGATCGACCGTCGTTCCGTTCATCGGGTTCATCTAGATGTGATGAAGAGGCTAAGATACCGATGAAGTCACAGCGACGCCTTTCTTCCACGCGGCTTCTGATAGCTTCTATGTGCCTACTAGAATCCACATCTTCTACACTCGATGAAGGCTTCCGGTCGGGTCCTAGGACACACTACAACATGCCGGCGTCCTTTCGGCCATGAGGTAGGAGTATCTAGGCCCGAGAAGGAGCGCCTGACTTACCCCAACAGGTGTCTACGGAAAAGGTCTGCCAAATACTGGACACTACTACAATTCGTGTATGACGCAACGCGACCAGTGTGACATAATGGGAGACGGCGATGTTATATGAAACCGTGAGTATGATATCGCAGTAATAAGAATATACTGATTTCATTCCACTATCTTCACGTCCAGACTTTACAATGCGTCTCACCCCATTTATCTTCGTGGCATCAGCCACAGCCCTTCCAACCATTTTCCGCATCCGAGCCCTCCTCCCCGAAATATCCCTCCCAATTGACTACTCTTTCGGCGTGCGGGTACCAACATCTTCCAACCCATCATCATCCAACCCTCTAGCACTACTTGTGAACGGTTACACGGTCAAAATCCCACTCATCGCCAGTTCAGGTACTCTCGTCTCCTGGATAGCCAACTACGCAGACGGAAAGGCATACAACACACAGTTCACTTCCATCAACCCCTCGGCGCCTAGGAACATCACCACAGACTCCGACTCCACCTCCCAGCAAGGTGGAAACAGTGTCTCAAACGCCACAGCACTGGCAGATGGCCGACAAGCTCGCGTGATCACAACATCTTTCTCTTCAGGCAACGCCGCATCCGCCGCAGCTGCCGCCCTCGATGGCACAAACTCCGATTCCACATCCTCATCCGGCGCCGCAAACAGCACAGCGGTGGCTACAACCAATGCCTTAGGTGAAGTCTTCATCTTCACCTCCGCCAACACCGCCAACGCCCTAAACTCGCAGTCCATCAAGAACGCCAAAGGCGCTGAAGCAGCATCCTCCTGCGCCGCCGACTCCGGTCCTGCTGCGTCCGCGCAAGCAGAGCAGGTTAACAGCCTTTACATTCCCATTGGAACGTTTTCAGACGGCAAGGAAACGCAATGGCTGAAGAGCTCGGCTTATGCGGCGTGTGCGGCGGGTGTTGATTCGCCGAATCAGGGGGGTAGTTCGAGTTCGGGGAGTCAGTCTAGTTTGACGGGCGTGAAGAGTAGTGTTACTTGTAACGGGGCGACGAGTAGTGATCAGACTAAGAGCACGACTTATAAGGTTAGTGTTAAGGGAAGGTATACGTTGTTGAAGGGCTTTAATGGTGCGGTTGGTGGGCAGAGGGTTGCCGATAGTAAGAGTCAGTGTTAGATGCGTCGTGGGTGTTTGATCTGCAGCGGGCTTTGTAAAGCTCATTCAAGAGTATAGCTGTATCTTCTTGATTTTAACTTTTCACTTAGTTGGATGGCATGTCTTGGATTTTGCAATATTTATCACAATGCAACAAACATCGACGTTTCACTTCATCATTCCTGCCTTTGTGTGAGCATTATCACATACCCTCTTTAGCTATCACAACGTTGTCGACATCGTTCTGTTCTCTCTACTGCGTATCTTCATATCCTGCTATCTGAAGAAACTGGCCCTGGTCCCCTTTCACTTTCACCTTGGCAAATTCGTGCGCACCTTCACCTTCTCTCACTCTGCACTGACGCTACTAATGTCAAGTCGCACAGTGAATACTGTCTCCCAGATTGGACTAGCTTGACGCGCGCTCCGCTTTGATAGAGACAATAGCAGAAGCTCAATTGCCTTTACGATGTCAAAGCGCTTGCTTCGGAAGATACTCACCTCCACATCGTCAAGCCCATTTGCACATAGCGACATGGCTGACTTACTATCTTCGTTAATTCTCACACCTCTGGCTAGCAGGACGCCATCTCCCGACGTCTCGGATTTGACATCGTCCCTCCTCAGCTCATATCCGCTCCAAAAGACACTCTGGCGCAACCCATACTATCCCATACATGGCCACAGCCCTCTGCAAGCCGAATACATAGTGCCTAATGCATTGCCAGATGAGCGCAATGGGGAGGCGACAAGTCCCTTGATGTATCGAGACTCCTCCACACCACTCTCACAGGAGCCAACGTCGTCCTCAGCCAGCCACGACAGCTTGACTACTGAGGCTTTCGAATCGCTTGAAGTCGAGCAGGGTGATACAGGCTATCGAGGTCCAGCGGCCAATCTGGTGGCCAGCAGACTACCGCGGGTAGAGGCTGATAAGATGGCCCAGCGTCGTGAAATCGAAGACGTCTACAGCATACGAAATATTTTGAACAAGAATCGACAATGGGAAGATCGCATGGCGGTTCTGCTGGGTGAAATGATGTTGGCAAATGGTATCAATCGACATCTAGGGGCTATAGAGGTGGGATATTTGCCCGAAGATGAACACACAATGGGAAAAGGGACAGTTGGTACAAACGGGCACCGAAGAATGCACGAATTCCTGCACAGCAAGGAGAAGAAGAGGAAACGAAGTGTTGAAGACATTGGAGATGAGATCACGGATGATAAGAGCACCAAGAGGACGCCGACAGTGCCTCCATGCATATTGAGGATGCACGCAGAGAAGAAATATCGACACTTACCCAGCAGACATACCGGATGAGCACAACATGGACCTGGCATACACGAGACAAGTCAGACGCAGACGGAGTACAGCGCAGTGAACCCACTGTCGCGTCTGCATGATCACCCCAATGTCACCCAAATACGCTACAACTTCAGTCTGGATGGACGAGTATCGGCAGATTCACCGCCTTGAGATGCCGATTATCCGCAAAGGGTGGAAAAGGAAGTTTGACTGCAAGATGGGACCAAGTGGAGATGAGTGGGTAATGGATCATGGGGCAGGGAGCATGGGCCTCCATCGCCAAGATGCGGGGAGAGCTCCTCCCCAACACAGCCGGAGCCATGCAAGGTACCACAGCTGCTGTAGCGTGCTGTTGACGTTGTCGACATTGCCACACCGCCTCGACCGAATTCCAATCCCCATCTCCAGCCTCATCCACCATGGGAGGAGAATCGCACCGCAACATGCCCGTTCCCGTGGCCAAAGACTACCCACAGCTGGCGGCTGGTCCCGTTGGCAAGCAGATCCACAGCATCTACCAGAGCCGACTGAGGCAGTTCCTCGATGCAGGACAGTACAGGGAACAGAGTCTGATTGGGTGAGTTCCGAGCTTCACGCCTTCCTAGTTATCTGTCTCCAGCTCCAACATGCTCATACGTCATGCAGCAAGCTCACCGAAGCTGTCGCGTCCGGTACCGACTGGGTGAAGCTCTCCGTCTACTCGCCCCCAAACCTATCGCGCCCGCTCTTTAAGGAAGCCACTTCCCATGCGTTCCACCCCACCAAAGTCGGCGAGTCATTTGGCCCCAGTTGGTCGACTCACTGGTTCAAGGTCCAGCTCACGGTGCCCAAGCACATGCTCGACAAGGAACATCTTGAATTCGTTTGGGACGCAAACAACGAGGGCCTGATCTGGACCGAAGATGGGCACACTGTTCACGGACTCACCGGTGGCGGCGAACGCACGCAATGGATCCTGCCCAAGGAGTTCAGAGACGGCAAAGAGCATACCTTCTACATCGAGATGGCCTGCAACGGCATGTTCGGCAATGCTCCCGGCGGCGACTCGATTCAACCACCAGACCCAGACAAATACTACACGCTGCACACTGCTGAGGTCCAGGCGGTCAACCTGGAGGCGAGAGGGCTATACTTTGACTTCTGGGAAATTGGAGATGCCGCTCGCGAGTTCCCAGGGGACTCGACGCAAGCCCATGATGCCCAGCAGGTCGGCAACCGCATCATCGACACTTTCATTGCGGGCAATGGAAGCCAAGAGAGCATCAAAGCATGCCGCAAGATTGCGGCTGAGTACGTCGGCAAGGACGTAGACTCGCACAAAGTATACGAGACCGACCAGGAGGCTATCGTACACGGTATCGGCTACTGCCACATCGACACGTGTTGGCTCTGGCCATTCGACGAAACCAAGCGAAAGGTCAACCGATCCTGGTCGAACCAGTGCGACCTCATCGAGCGATACCCCGAGCTTCGCTTCTGCTGCTCACAAGCACAGCAATACAAGTGGCTCGAGCAGTACTACCCTTCCACGTTCGATCGCGTTAAGAAGAAGGTCAAGGAAGGCAGCTTCCAGCCCATCGGTGGTAGTTGGGTCGAGCATGACACCAACCTTCCTGGTGGAGAGTCGCTCATCAGGCAATTCTTGTACGGTCAACGCTACTTTGAGAGCAAGTTTGGCCAAAGGTGCCGCACTTTCTGGCTGCCGGATACTTTCGGATACTCGACGCAATTGCCACAGATATGTCGCATTTCGGGTATGACTAGATTCCTGACTCAGAAGCTGAGCTGGAACAACATCAACAATTTCCCACATACGACATTCAACTGGGTCGCGTTGGACAACAGTCAGGTCATCTGCCATATGCCGCCATCTGAGACGTACACGTGCGAAGCGAACTTCGGTGACGTCAAGCGCAGCGTCACACAGCACAAGTCGCTCGACCAAGACAAGTCATCGCTGATTGTCTTCGGCAAAGGAGATGGAGGCGGTGGTCCGACATGGCAGCACCTTGAGAAACTCAGGCGATGCCGTGGTATCAGCGACACTGCTGGTCTGTTGCCTCGCGTCAAGCTAGGCGACTCAGCAGACGACTTCTTCGACCGCCTGGAGAAGAAGGTCGAGAATGGTACTGAGCTCGTGACATGGTATGGCGAGCTGTACTTCGAACTCCACCGTGGTACATACACTACACAGTCGAACAACAAGCGCAACAACAGGAAGTCGGAGATCATGCTGAGGGACATTGAGTACCTGGCGACTTTGGCGACAGCCAAGAACGGCTTCGGCAAGAAGAGCTCGTACAAGTACCCGAAGAAGGACATTGATGACATGTGGGAGAACGTGCTCTTGTGTCAATTCCATGACTGTCTGCCTGGAAGCTCCATCGAAATGTGCTACGACGACTCCGATCGGGTATGTTGCTGATCCCCAAACTTGACTCCACGACTGACTTTTTTAGATTTACGCCGAAGTGTTTGCTACTGGAGAGAGGCTGCTTTCCGACGCCCTTGCTGAACTCGGCTTCAACGATGAGACTAGCTGGGATCAAGACACCAAGCTATTCGCGATAAACACCTTACCATGGAGCCGTACCGAAATCATCAAATTGCCGAGTGAGGCAAGTCGAACGAAGTATAGTCCTCCAGGGGCAGAGTACGGTCTTGCTCATCGTAACGGATCTCAGAAGGGTTTGGGCGCTCTGGACGTGTTCCCACTCCACTCTGCGTACCCTGCTCAGAAGGCGACTATTGAGGAGATCCATCCCAATGTTTACGAACTCCGCAACTCGCAATTTGTTGTACAGGTCAACAACGGTGCCATCACCTCACTCTTCGATATTGCCGCCGATCGCGAACTGATTCCGAAGGGTGCCAAAGCCGGTCAGCTTGTCATCTACGATGACAAGCCACTCTACTGGCAAGCGTGGGACGTTGAAGTCTACCACCTCCAGTCCCGCAAGGAACTCGAGCCTAGCAAGGTGACCATCGCGGAGAACAGCGTTCACCGTGTGAGCCTGGTAATTGAGACGAAGGTCTCAGACAAGTCGTGGGTCAAGACGACCATGAGTCTACCTGCAGCCGTAGGAAATACACCCAGTGCTATCGAGTTTGATGCAGAGATCGAATGGCACGAGACCATGAGGTTCCTCAAGGTCGAGTTCCCAGTCGATATTGTGAATACAGAAGCCAGCTACGAGACGCAGTTCGGCATCGTGCGCCGACCTACCCACTACAACACCACCTGGGACATGGCCAAATTTGAAGTCTGCTGCCACAAGTGGGCCGATCTTTCCGAGGCTACCTACGGTGTCTCGATCCTGAACGACAGCAAGTACGGTTTCGCAGTCGCCGGAAACGTTATGCGTCTCTCTCTTCTCCGCTCTCCCAAGGCCCCCGACGCCCACGCCGACATGGGCAGCCACAAGACTCGCTACGCCATCTTCCCCCACAAGGGCGGTCTAGACGAACGCACAGTGCGCAAGGCCTTTGAATTCAACAACCCACTCAAGATTGTTGGTCGCCAGGGCCTGCACGCCCCGCCATCCGCCATGCACAGTGGTCTTCTGAACCCCTTCCACATCTACGGTGCACCCAACCTTGTGCTAGACACCATCAAGCGCGGCGAGGACGACGAGGATGTCAGCCGTGGTGAGTTGCCGATCAAGAAGGGTCATTCGATTATCCTACGTATCTACGACAGTCTGGGCGGAAAGAGCAAGGGTGTGCTTACCTGGGGGGATGTCGATGTGAAGAAGGTGATCAAGGTCAATGCGCTGGAAGACGAAGAGGGTGAGCCGCTGGATATAAGCGACATGCGGGTAGGAGCGGAAGAAGTGAAGGAGAAGGGTGTGCCAATCGAGATTCGCGCATTCGAAGTGGCGAGTTACAAACTGTTGTTGGCGTAGGTATGGCATAAGTATGGCGATTGGTGGGTAATGAGTAATGAGAGTATATGGTATAACATGGACGGTCCTTCGATCACTGGAAATGTTTTTGTTGGAGTACTGTTTGGGTGATGAGCATACATAGTTGGCATCAGGCATAAACAATATTACGTGTCGTATCCAGTACGGTCAACGCGTTATTCGAGATCAATGTGAAAATAGTGTCATTGTGTCCAAAACGCCTATAATGCCGTATCCCATGCTCTGTGCATCGATCGATGCCATCACGCTACCCTGATCCTAGAGTAGGCTGAGTTGCACTCGAGGACAAGCATTCCGCTCGCCTTGCTGGAGTGCAGACCTAGTGGATGCGATCCAACTTGAGCCTGTTCCTGGCAATCTTGTCATCGACCGAATCTGTCTTGCCAGTGATGCGTGTAATGTGCGTGTTCTGATTATCGACCTCCTCACCCATCGCGCGACCGAGTTGGTTGAGGTTCTTGGCCATGCCATGAAGTTGGTCTGTGAAAAGAATTCTGTTAGAATCCACACATCAATGGAATAGACGGAGAATACGTACCCAAGTTGTTATCGATTTCGTTCTCCATCTCATCGTCCTCCTCGTCAGCCTCGAACTGGAACTTCGAACGTGCAGCCAGCGAGCTCTTGTTGTTGCCTTGTGGACCACCGCCTGTCGCCAGCTTACGCTGGGCTTCGTTTGCGCGGGCTCCAGACTCCCACTTGGCCCGGTTGGTTTGTTCTCGGGTGTCACGGTCGCGTGCGTGCTGGTCCATGGCTTGTTGCATTTGCTTCTCGCGCTTCGAGTTGCCTGTGAAGGGGTTGGGGACGATGGAGAACATGCTTGCGTTGATGCCTGGAGTCGGGTTAGTCATGAATGATACGTGTTGAGGGGTGCGTCCTTACGGGCCAGTTCCTTAGTCTGTCCATTTGCTCTGTCGCTCTGGATAGAGGCAAGGTCGAGATTGCGTTCCGTGCTAGAGACGAGTTAGCTGTGTATCAGCATGTGAAGATGAGTCCAACGTACTTATGAATACGCTCTCCCTGTGCTGCTAGTGTGCCTAGAGTCCCTCGACCGGTTTCCAAAGCCTGCTCAGCTAGACGGAGAGCGTT